ATTTTAATAATCTTGGCCCTGGTGCATTTAGCAGCAGCACAACACACTGAAATTCAGCAACTTTACCTGAACCTTGGGGCACAAATATGAAAGAATGAAAGAGCTTCTGGTCAGGCAATTTCTCATAGCATCTAGTTGGCATGCAAAGCAACAACTCATGGCTTCTAGTTATTATCTTTCTTTTGCCACCCTGACCTTGTGCTGAATTGAGTCAGGATCTTGCAGAGCTGATTGTCAACAGGAGGGCAAAATGCTATGAAGTATTAATGGAACCTCTTTCTTTAAAAAAGAAAACATACACTGCTGGCACAGAGATAGACATAACTGGTCCTCAAGTATATGACAACTTAGCCATACCAAATAGTTGTAGCATTAAATCTGTGAATACTGGGTGACCAGATGTCATGAGATCAAAGGAGGACAAGGCACTGCAAAATGTAGGATGTTCATGAAAAATGCAGGGTGCTAACAAATAAAAGCTAAAAACGCAAATATTTCATGTCCTATGGTTCATTTACACATATATTACATATACTGTATTTTTTAAAGTACTCAACTTTAATTTTCTGATGAACTTGTCCTTGTTAAAATGCCTTGTTGGCTTGCAATATATGGTACTCATAGAACTCAGAGTAAAACAATCGCTTAAAATTGTACTTTACTAGCAGCAAACCTTTGGCTGAATCTACATTTAAATTATTACTTTAATTTGTAGTTTTCTCATTTGCTTTCTCATCCCTCCTGCGTCTTCCTCAACCCAAATTGCAAATTTTTGCCTCTCATTTTTGCCTCTTCCCCTTGGTGCCACTGATCTGCTTCAACAACCCAGAGCCTCCTTTCCTTTCCATATCTGCATCAGAAAACACACACACACGTAAACAAAACCACCACATGGTCAGTGATAGTCTTCTCCCCCTTCCCCTTTCCGCATATGCTGGGACTGTGCCGCTCAACAGTTTTTCTATAGTCAGTATTGTTGCAGGCTAAGCATTCTGGATCCTGTTTATTGTTTGGCGAACACAAACAAGCCCTTTGCAGCAGCAATGGCAGTAATAAATCTGTTGATTTACCTCCTGCTTGCCTGCTGAGGCATCAGATGACACAAGGATGGCTCAAGCTATGGCTCTTTTATGGCTCAAAATAGAGGACATTTTGTAATTCTCCTGGACCCTTGGACATAAGGCTGAAATGTAGAATGTGCCTGGGAAAAAGAGGACAATGGCTGGATTCCCATTACTGACATATTCAAGCATTAATAGGAGACGCAGAAGTGTTATGCCTGCATATGACATTTTAAAGTTATTGCAGAAGGAGGTATCCAGAACCTGCAATTGCAACTTCTTCACAGCTTCATACTCTCTTGTGTGTGGGTTGGCAATCAGGGTCAAAAAGGCTTCCCTGGGAGGGAAGGTAGGCTTTTCCCAAAGGCTGCCAGTTGCTGAGCTCTCCTCTGAAAGATCCCCAAAATTTCTTATTGGGATGACAGATCCTAGACAACCCTCCCAACCCCTGCCAGCTAATATTGTCAGTGACCATGATAGCTAGGAGATTCTGGGAACTATAGTCTCAAAAACAAACGTATATATGTTTTGAACTGCCAAAGCTTTTGTAGAGGCCTTCAAAACTGCATCCTTTTACTCAATTTCCATCCACGCGAGTCCTTCAAAAGTGTAACCCTTTGCCCAATGTGTGCATGCATTTATAACTGCCTTCAAGTTGCCTATCAACTTAGGGCAACCCCCTGGATTTCATAGGGTTTTCTTAGTCAAGAAAGTCTTGTCAGTTCTTGCCTCTGAAATATTGCCTGGTACCTACCCACACATTTGATCTTATGACCACATTTGTAGATTATCTTGGCTTGAGTCAAAGCACTGAACTTTCCCACATGATCGCTTAGTTCTTTTTGGGTTGTTGTTGTTTTTACAAGTTGGCAAGACACCAAAAACAAATTATTTGATTAATGTCACAGGTAGTCACTAAACAACTAATTTAAGCAATACTATCAACAATCCATGGGTTGGGTTGTTTTTTTGCTGCAGGCCACCAAGGAGCATTCTCTGAATAAATGACTAGAAGAAATATGGCACCTTTCCAAAATAGGATATCTGTCAGATCATGGTTGGGCAGCTATGTTGCTCTCCGGGTTTGCTTTGATGTTAAAACCTATTAAAGTTTTAATTTGCTATTGCTTTCCTTTCAGGAGTCACGGGAGCTTTTAGGAAGGCTGATTTTCAAGGACCAGAGGTATACAGGAATACAAAGACGTGAAATAAAGAGAGGAAAGGAACAGTTCTAGAAGAGGTTGTGTGAAATTGCACACTTAATAAATGGGATATTTTGACCTAAAGATGTGGTGATTTGGTAAGATGTGAGGAGGGTTTGGCACCTCCAAAATAGTGAAACGTCTGCACCACAGTAAGCCAGATTCCATGGCAACCCTCTTCGATCTGCAACCTGTATAAATTTATTAATATTAGCATTATTTTGTTAATGTTTCCTAATATAGGTGGCTCCTGGTATTCCGTGGGGAGGACAAGTGGTTGTGCAGGGCACTGACGTCTCTGTATTTGAATGCATTAATAAGAAAAACAATGCTCTTCTACACAGGGGTTGAAGCATAAGTTTGAAGCATAAGCCAAATTTTGAGTTCTTTCCTACAGTCCTCCTTTTTCACCTTCTCCTGAAGTAAAATGGAAAGATATTTAAGGCCAGAAGGCAAAGATTACAGATATAAACATTAGCTATGCAGATGCATCAAATCTCTTTGGTTTCTGAAGTTTCACTATACATTTCAAAATACTCTATAGAGTGTAAGGATATATGTCTCCAACTATGACACTAGTTTACAGTTTTAAAGTAGCTGAAATATATGGCACAGCAACATGAAGCAGCCCATGTGCTAGCACTTGAATGATGTGATGCTCCTCCTTCACATTCAGTGAAGCCACCTCCCTGTATAACTATGGAAGTCATT